AACTCAAAATCAAGTTCACATCTAAATAGGATTCTTCGTTAGCATTCAACTAAAATTCTAGTAACATAGGGATAATCCTCTGGAGAAGAGCTAATGCAAGGCATCCTTCGGGGATTTTTCTCATCTCACCGATAACTACCTTATGCAGAGAGGCTCAACTCAAAACCAAATTATCATTTTCAAGGTTTACCTGGTTAGATATGAAATGACAACCATTATATACCTCCAATATCCCAATAGACCTTCCTCAAAAGAAAAGTAACAATAAAAATCAGTAAAACTTACTTTCACACATTGTTGCGAATCCACCCGCAGGAAACGAATAATCAGTAATTAAAGACAATAAAGCAATATCCCAATCAAGAGCTCATTCGAATCTGAAATACAAAAGGAACAATTTACAGAATGAAATAAATTAAGACATAAATGGGGAAATGGTATAGACCTACAATAGAAATAAGACGATATAGTTAAAGTAAACTTACATTTAAGTATCGACTGAAAATCAATCCGCTCCACACAGAAAATCAGATATTAACCAAATAAACTTGCAACTAAAATCAGAACTTCGAATCAATTTATAACAAGAAAAGAAAACTTTCAAATACACAAATCAAACTTACTTTCAAATAACTGGCCATGATCAACCTAAATATACAAAAAACTCATTAATAAATATAATTTTCTATCGTACCAAACTACACGTACCATAAACAATAACATGCACTATATAATCGATGTTCCTTCGCATAACTATCCACGACCTCGCAAAACTCGTCGCTCGAAATATCGATACTTTAACTGCTGGTGGTCCTTATAGATAACGATCATCTGCTCAACACAGGTCCTTGGTAATATAGATGGTTCTCCTAGTCCTGCTTTCCGTAGATTTTGCTCATCTACTCAATGGTAATCCTCAATAAAATAGGTAATTTCCATAACGACCGTCCTCATAAATACCTATATCGACTTTTATAGCAACTAAAATCAACCATATCTAGGACGTATTTCCCTGGATTATATCACTGCCGTGCTTAGTTGTGCACTATACAGTCGTATACTCCACCATATCATACCAACCAGGTACCAATCTGTTTTTTGAAGGTCTTCTCTTCCTTTTTGTATGAACAAGTACTCTTCATGTTTGGGTCGATTTTAGGGTACGTGGGAAAGCTCTATCGAATGATCGGTCTATGTGTGGGCCTTCACCTTGCTTATAAATGATGAAATAGAATATCAAGCAGAGACAAGGAATAACTTTGGAAAGTATTTACATCGCGCCTGTCTATAATGCTAGAAAGAGACCATTAAGTTCCTGGTATATATATATATAAGTGTGACGCGAAACAAAACGGTGAATGATTAGTGACGCTGTGTAGAACTCAATTGGATCGGTTTTGATCAATCAGACCTCAGTGGGGCTTTTCTTCCTTATTGTAAGGACAAGTACTAGTGACGTTCGGACCGATCCTAGGGGTATCGGAGGTGCTCTATTGAATGGTGGGTATATGTGTGGGTCCCCTTCTTGGCCTCCATGGAGAAATAGAATATTGCACCTTCACTGATCAACTAAATGGACCAATCAGAATTCAGTGGGGCTTTTCTTCCTTATTCTAAGGACAAGTACTAGCGATGTTTGGGCCGATCCTAGGGTTATCGAGGGTGCTCTATCGAATGGTGGGTATATGTATGGGTCCCTTCCTTGCTCTCCATGGAGAAATAGAATATTGCACCTTCACAGTTCAACTAAGTGGACTAATCAGATTCCAGTAGGGCTTTTTTCCTTATTCTAAGGACAAGTACTTGTCATGTTCGGGCCGATTCTAGGATTATCGGGGGTGCTCTATCGAATGGTGGGTATATGTGTGGGCCCCTTCCTTGCTCTCCATGGAGAGATAGAATATTGCACCTTCACTGATCAACTAAATGGACCAATCAGATTTCAGTAGGACTTTTTTCCTTATTCTAAGAACAAGGACTAGTGATGTTCGGGCCGATCCTAGGGTTATCGGGGGTGCTCTATCAAATGATGGGTAGATGTATGAATTCCCTCCTGGATCCCCGTAAAGAAATAGAATATCGCGCTTTCAACGGTCAATGAAATGGACCAATGAGATTTTTGGAGGACTTTTTCTCCTTACTGTAGGGGCAAGTACTACTCATGGCCAGGTCGCTCGTAGGGTTACTGGAGACGCTGTATCAAATGATGGGTATATATATGGGTCTACTCCTTGCTCATAAGTGATGAAATAGAATACCAAGCAGAAGCGAGGGATAGCTGTGAGAAGTATTAGCGTCGCACTCTTGTCTATTATGTTAGGTAGAGGTCATTAATTTACTGGTACACATGTGCGTGTGACGCAAAACAAAACAGTGTATAATTAAGAACGCTATGTAGAATTTGATTGGATCATCTTTTACCAATAAAATTTCTGGATGGCTTCTCTTCCTTATTTTAAAGACAAGTACTAGCCATGTTTGAGCCGATCTTAGGATTATTGGGGACATTCCATCAAATAATGGGTATATGTGTGGGTCGTCACCTTGTGTTTCATGAAGAAATTGAATATCATGTTCTGAGTGGTCAATTAAATGGGTCAATGAGATCTCAGTGGGACTTACTTTCTTATTGTAAGCAAAACTACTCTTCACGTTAAGGTCGATTCTAGCGTTAGTGGGGATGTTCTATTGAATGACGGGTACATTTGTGGGCCTCCGGCTTCGAATTGATCAAGAAACAGAATTCGGTGATTCGATCGGTCAAATGAAGTTGAGCGATGAAATTGTAGGAGCCGTTTTCTTCCTCATTTCGAGACCATGTTGGTGTTACGTTTTAGTCGTTTCTGAAGTGTCGGAGATGCTCTTCTAAAGGACCTACATATCGAAGTGCTGGGGTTTTCTTATAGCAGTAAAGTGCTATCTGGCCATCTGATTTGTGAGTTGAGATGGATCGATAATCTGGTACATCGTTCTCACTTAGTTAATAGTCGAAACAAGGGGAAACCAGCAGAGACTTCAGCCGTGAAGTCTCATGAAGTCTTGTAAGTCTTTTGAAGTCTTCTGAAGCCTCATGAAGTCGTGTAAGTCTTTTGAAGTCTTCTGAAGTCTCTTGAAGTCTTTTGAAGTCTTATGAATTATCATAAAGTCTCATAAAGTCTCTGAAGTCTTTGAAGTCTCTTGAAATCTCATGAAGTCTCATGAAGTCTCACGAAGTCTCTTGAAGTCACTTGAAGTCTCTTGAAGTCTCTTAAAGTCTCATGAAATCTAATGAAGTCTCATGAATTCTTTTGAAAGGTTTGAAATACATTTAGTGCATGAAAACTCATAAGAAACCAATGAAATTGTCTTGTTTTCGACGATTTTATTTTAGCAGAAAGGTGAACTATTTATTGTTTTTTTTTCAATGTGCTGGAAAAAATTCAAGCTTGTTTGGTCTTAGGAAACGTAATAGTTAATAACTGAATCTTTTTGAATGAAGTGTTTTATTTTTATAAGAAATGTTTTATCTATCCAAATCAATCTGATGAAGAATTTTAATCCTTTTTGTTTGTTTCTATCACTCGTGATAATCTATCAGCCGATAAACGGCTAGCTTTGTCAGTTAATAACCAACAAGCCGATTGCTTGTGTATAAATTTAGTCTTGTTATTTATTTGCACTTGAAAATAGGAGTTTTTCATTGCTGGATTGATCGAATCAAATATACGCATACCAGTAAAATTTATTTTCTCAGTTTTAATTTCATCAACACTTTGTGTCGTTGCCGCATCTTTATCTTCTTCATCCACATTGATTAGATCACTATTAAATTCATTACTTTCCATTGTTTCATTATCATAATCAGATTCAGAATCTGATGAAGAATCTGCATCCGTTGCCGAATAAGTATCCGAATTAATGTTGAATCTAATACTATCAAATATATTTTTACTTAAACCATTAAGTTCACAAGCATTGCATTTCTTTAATGAAGGTAATATATTCAAATTACTAACTAGTTCTTTTGCACGATTAAATGCAGCTAAAATAATATTTTCACCATTATTTAATCCTCGTTGCTAAGGGCTGTAATGGGGGGGGGGGGGGGGGGTATGTCTGTATTGTTCTCTTTCTCCGTTGCTAAGTGTCTATAATGGGGTGGGGGGAGAAAGAGCCATCAAACCTCGAACTGAAAACGTACACTCACTATTTTCTTCGAAAATATACGTGAGTTCCACAAAACAGACTTTTGGAAGCAATCAATTTTCAATATCATTCCTGTTCGTGGTTCTCGAAAGACACTAGTTACTCTGTTATGAATAAGGGTGTCAATTTATATTTACTTTCCATTTAATTTACGCGTAAATTAAATGATAAATAATTTATATTTATTATAAAGTAAACGGTAAATGACACCCCTACTATTTGATAAGTTTTGTTTTTTTGCATGTTATAGAGGTTTCATGTAATTTCTATAAGATTTTTTGATACGCATGGAATCTGCTTCTTGAAGTCCTATGAAGTCTTGTGAAGTCTTGTGAAGTTTTATAAAGTCTTGTGAAGTCTTATGAAGTCTGATGAAGTCTTATAAAGTCTCAAGAAGTCCTACAAAGTCTCTGAAGTCTCATGGAATCCGTGAAGTCTCATGAAGTCCCTGAAGTCTCACGAAGTCTGTGAAGTCTAACGAAGTCTTTGAAAGTTTTTTGAAGTCCCATGAAGTCATACGAAGTCTTATGAAGTCTTGCGAAGTCATTTGAAGTCCTATGAAGTCTTCAGAAGTCTTTAGAAGTCTTTCGAAGTCTTGTAAAAAGATGAAGTCACAGCGGGTGAAGTCTGTTGAAGTCTTTTGAAGTCTTGAAGTCTTGAAGTCCGCTGTTTCCCCCTTGAGTCGAAAAGAATGGCTGTTTCGTTAGGTTGTTTCGGGATATATGTATTATCAGCTAAACGGTTGTTGACAATCGGTGGATACGCTATTGGATAACATCTAGCGTGTAGGGTACATTACAATGGTTTATGGTATGCTTGTTTACAGTCCCTGTGTTGGTACCATGCTCGTCAACAACCATTGTTCATAGTCATTGTTTCCGATTGTTGTAATGCAGCGTATCGTGTCATTAGCCATTGGCAGAAGGAAGTGCCGTAAACTGCTCATGAATACGTCGTTTTTCGTTGGCTTACAAAGAGCGTATACGGGTGCCGTTTCGTTACACTAGCCGTTTACGACTGACTATTACGGATGTCATGTACACTGACTGTAATATGCCGTGGAGCGTCGTTTACAGTTGTAGTTGTAAAGGTCTGGCGGAAATGCTCACTCTTGTCCTCCATAATTAGTTGGCATATGACTGTGCACAGCCGAGCATAATTGACCT